AATAGGGGCCAAGGACAAGAGCAAACAGGGCAATAAACGTCACACAGCACGCATTATCTTCCGCTCGCCAGCATCCTCCGAAGTCGTTCATGTAGGCCTCTGAAAAAACGATGCCCTATGGACTCGTTGGGACGACTTTGCGGACTCGATGCACCCGCCAGCATCCTCATTGGGCGTCCTGTTTTCAAAGTCGGGGGGCCGCAAAGACATCCAAGGGCCCTAGTGCCATCCATGCGGTGCCCACCAGGGCTGTGTTTAGGGCTGTAAACAGACAACGCGGTTGATGTGGGTCGTTGATCATTGCCACTGATTGTTCCCCATGTACTAGTAAGATTGTTATCATATGTTGGAATCAAACTGGAAATCACATTTGAGGGCGTTTCATCTCCGAGGGTTATGGAGGTGTCGCTGTCACCCGCAGACCGCTCATGACTCGTCTGGAGAATGCAGATGGAATTTGTCGGCTTTACATTACTGCCACTGTCCTTCATGTCCGAAGTTACTGTGCAGGCGGCATCGTCATCCATGTCGTCCACCCTGATTTCCGGAAAGCCCTCTATTTGTAGACGATCCGAAGGAGGCGGTAGGAGAATTTGATGCCATACCGCCTCTTCCAAATTGCGCTCTCTGATGACTGTGGCAACTTTGCTGTCCTCCATTTCCGGGGCCGGACTCGCAGAGCTCTTCACAGTCCTGTCATAATAAATCTCTCCGCTGAGGGCACCCGAAGTGGCGGTCGATCTAAGGGCAAACAGAGTAGTCGCTGCCACCGACTGAGCCAGGTGGGTCGAAGAACAGAGCTTCACCTCAATAGAATCGGGACGGCGAGGGGCAGTACAATTGAAATAAGTGACGCGATTTACCGGATCCGTCAGCCGATGGACGTACATCTTGTTCCATCTGCAGAATCTACGGGGTCTTCTAGAAAAGGGGTTATTCCTGTGTACAGACTCTGTCTGGCGGCGCTTTATAGGCTTCGAAGAGTCAGAGACTTTGGTGCCCATGTTCCATGGGGGACGGCGGGTGGCGAGGCTGCTTGTCTGAGATATGAGGAATGCTCGCCATTCTGCCGCGACACAATAGAC